ACAATAGCACAATAGCCATAAGGAGAGGTGGGCAAGAAATAAAATTGTTGTTGTTGTTGTTGTTGTTGTTAGATTTTTTCACTTAAGTTTAATTGTTACAGAATATTTTAGATTTCTCAGTTAACTTAGGTTGCTTTAATCATATACATTTTCTTTATAAAGTATTTCAATATATCTCAAAATATATTATATGTATTAAATATGTTATACAACCTGTCATGAAAAAAAATCAAACTAGTGTAGGTCTGTATTAGTCATTGTCACTACAGGCAATCTCAAAAATGGTAGGATCAGGTTCAAACTTAGAAGAACCAAAAGAATAGTCATAATTGCTTCATATGAGAAATAAGGCAAATCCATCCCCACACTAACGACTAGTTCTGAAGGTACAACATATTGTTGCAGTCATGCAAAATGTGCAAAAATGTCAAATGTATCTTGTTCCATTATATTACTTTGAACTAGACCAGTGGTTCCCAACCTGTGGTCCGTGAACCACCACTGGTCCCCAATAATTAAATTATGGTCCGTGGCCTCACCGTTACTACACTATTGCAACGAGAGTGACTGGTCTCACGAAACCCTCTTTTAGTGCCGAGGCAACAGAGATGTTGGAAGGGGAGAGGCTAACTACCCACAAAAGGCATGACAACAAGCCTCCTGAATGCTGCTTCTCCTCCTCCTCCCTCCCGCTGAGTGGAGCCATTCCATGTGGCACCTGGAAGCGAGAGCACCTTGGTGTCTTTGTTTTTAGGCCTGCTCCTGGGGTGATTTGTTGTGCTGATTCAAACAATTGCATTGGATAGACCACATCAGCTCTAGATTATTCAACATGGTTTTCTGTGGGTGAGCAGATGGTGACTACTAGATGGCATATGTTCTGTATCAAGAACTAGAACTGATGTGGTCTATCCTATGTAGTTTTCTGAATCAGCACCCCAAATAACCAAACCAAATCTAAAGTTGACCAAAAACCGATTCATAAACCTTTTGGTACTAAAGTTGTAGAGTGGTTCCTGGTCATAGTACTCCTTGGTCAAGGGGTCCCTGGTCAAAGTGGTCCCTGGTCAAATTGGTTTCTGGTCAAGTGGTCCCTGATTTAAAAAAAAAGTTGGGAACCACTGAACTGTATAAATGTCCAATGTTATTTGATTTTATCCTGTACAATGATTTGTATTGTATAAGATAATTATTTTTTAATACGTTTTTTTTGTGATGGTTTTGCTGTCAGTCTCTTAAGGTATCTCAGAAGGAGAAAGGATCAGTGTATGAAAATCGAGATGTCACAGAAACAGAACAAGATTGTTATTGTGTTGCCGAAGGCTTTCATGGCCAGAATCACTGGGTTGCTGCGAGTTTTCCGGGCTGTATGGCAATGTTCCAGAAGCATTCTCTCCTGACGTTTCACCCACATCTATGGCAGGCATCCTCAAAAGTTGTGAGGTCTCACAACCTCTGAGAACGCCTGCCATAGGTGTTGGAGAAACATCAGGAGAGAATGTTTCTGGAACATTGCCATACAGCCCAAAAAACTCACAGCAACCCAAGATTGTTATTGTTTAATATAAAAGAAAGGAACTTTGAAGAAATAAAATATGTAATAGAGAAAGCAGGAAACCTATTCAGGGTCTCAACTGTATGCTTATTTTTTACCTGCTTGCTCTTGTTTGAAGATGTATTATTTCAAGGGACCATAATATTATTATTATTTTGGCATAGATAGCAGCTAAAACACCAGCACCATTTGTTGTAAATTGCTAACTGTTACACTGAGGAAATTGTGGTATTGTCCTTTGCCACAACAATAGCACAATAGCCACAAGGAGAGGTGGGCAAGAAATAAAGTTATTATTATTATTATTAGATTTTTTCACTTAAGTTTAAATATTACAGAATATTTTAGATTTCTCAGTTAGCTTAGGTTAGTGTAATCATATACATTTCCTTTATAAAATGTTTCAATATATGTCAAAATATATTATCTGTATTAAATACGTTATACAACCTGTCATGAAAAAAAATCAAACGAGTATAGCTGTTTTTAATGTATTTTTAGTGCTAAATTCCAAAACACAATGTGTCACCTTACAAATTTCATTACGGATTTCAATGCTAACTTCATTCAGTCACATCTTACAATACAGGCCGGATCTACACTACTTTACAATCTAATTTCAGAATGTGGATTACTGCATTGAACACTGCCCTATAATCCAGATCAATGCAATTAAGACACTACTACACTTGACTTTAGCCAAAAGACTGAGAAGCGATTAAGACACATTCTGAAACTGGATTATAGGGTAGTGTAGATCCAGCCACACAAACATCAAAACAAGTTGTGAAAAAATGTACAAATTAGCAAATCAGATATCATTTTTTGGATTTAGCACACCAAGTTCCCATAAAACCAGTGGGAATTTTAAAAAGTTATATGAACCTCAGTTTTGCAGGCCTGTGTCATGTATTACATTATTAATTCATTGGCAAATTAGTGCAAATATATGCATCCTGCATACATTTTTAAAATCATACTTAGTCACAAGAAAATTACCCCAGATAACCCCTTTGTATTCAACTTCATGCATATATGCAAGTGCAATTTGCACTCATGTGTCTTAAGTAACCAACATATCAATTCATCAATTTCATGTCATTAAGAGATGGAGATAATTGCTAATAAATAAAGCATGAAGCGTAGAATTTTTGTAATTTTGCAGCAATACATACCTTCTGAAGAAAAATCTCTTTGTTTTCTGGATCCTGGAGTTATGCAGCTTATAGTTTGACAGATCTTAAGCTCCACGTACCTTTTTTGGTACATACTTGACTATTATGCCTTATCTTCAAACTGTATGGGCAATAATGGCATAGGTTTGGTGTTCGGTTAGTATCAGTCTTTCAGCTGCAAAGTAGATCAAGGCTTTTTACAACTGGGAAAGTCCATTTGTGAGATGAATAATTTATTCTGCAAGTGTAATGTATCCAGGAGGGTAGTTGAAGGAATTAATTGACCCTGCTCACCTAGTCAACATTTTTACTGAAATAGGATACAGAGTATTAATTTGCATTGGAATTAATATATTCTTTGTTTAGATCAGCCTTCTCCAGCATCATCTAAGCTAGCCAAGGATGATGGAAGTTGTCCTCCAACACAGCTAGAAGAAGCCACTTTGGCAAAGAGTGGTCACTTTGCTTCAGGTGAAACACAGCCTCCTAAAACTAATATCTGAAGATAGTACCATAGAATCATAGAGTTGGAAGAAATCTCATGGGCCATCTAGTCCAACCCCCTTGTTATTTGGGAGTGTAGTTTCTGGGATTTATAGTTCACCTACAATCAAAGAGCATTCTGAACTCCACTCAAACTTGGAACGAATACTCAATATGCCCAAATGTGAACACTGTTGGAGTTTGAGGAAAATAGACCTTAACACTTGGGAGTTGTAGTTGCTGGGATTTATAGTTCACCTACAATCAAAGAGCATTCTGAACTCCACCAACGATGGAATGGAACCAAATTTGGCACACAGAACTCCCATGAACTACAGACAATACTGGAAGGGTTTGGTGGGCATTGACCTTGAATTTTGGAGTTGTAGTGTACCTACATCCAGAGAGCACTTTGGACTCAAACAGTCATGGATCTAGACCAAACTTGGAATGAATACTTAATATGCCCAAATATGAACACTGGTGGACTTTGAGGAAAATAGACCTTGACACATGAGAGTTGTAGTTGCTGGGATTTAATTAAAGAGCAATCAAAGAGCATTCTGAACTCCACCAACAATGAATGGAACCAAACTTGGCATACAGAACTCCTGTGCCCAACAGAAAATACTGGAAGGGTTTGGTGGGCATAGACCTTGAGTTTTGGTGTTGTAGTCCAACTAAATCCAGAGAGCACTGTGGACTCAAACTATAATGGATCTGGATCAAACTTGGCATGAATGTACAATATGTCCAAATGTGAACACTGGTGGAGGTTTGGGGAAAATAGACCTTGACACCTGGGAGTTGTAGTTGCTGGGATTTATAGTTCACCTACAATCAAAGAGCATTCTGAATTCCACCAATGGAATGGAACCAAACTTGCACAGAGAACTCCCGTTATGAACAAAAAATACTGGAAGGGTTTGGTGGGCATTGACCTTGAGTTTTGGTGTTGCAGTTTACCTCTAGAGAGCACTGTGGACCCAAACAATGATGGATCTGGTCCAAACTTGGCACAAATATTCAATATGCCCAAATGTGCACACTGGTGGAATTTGTGGAAAATGGACCTTGACACTTGGGAGTTGTAGTTACTGGAATTTATAGTTCACCTACAACCAAAGAGCATTCTGAACCCCACCAATGATAGAATTGGGCCAAACTTCCCACACAGAACCCCCATGACCAAAAGAAAATACTGTGCTTTCGAATGGTCTTTGGCGATCCCTTTGACACCCTCTCATGACGCCCCCCAAGCGATCCCAACCCCCAGGTTGAGAAACACTGTTCCTTAGTAGAACTGCAAATCCCAGGATTCCATTCCATTGAGCCATGGCAAAGTGTGGTCAGCTGCATTAATTCCACCTATGCAAGCTGTGACATTCCTCTTTCTTTGCTTCTCTTCGAGCAACACAAAAGGATCCTTAAGAAAGGACATGAGAAATAGCTTGTCTAATAGTGCCACCTCCTGGTACTTTGCTTTTTTCTCAGGGAAATGAATGCAAAGCCTAGTTCTTTCGCCCTGCTAGATGGCAGCACTCAGGAGAGGCAAGGCGACTTTTTCTAAGGCTGGGTCTCCCCTTTGCAAGCCATTGGTGCTTTTTGTTGGTTCTCCTTTCAACTTTCACTTCTCACGCAAGAGAATTGCAACTGTGGCGAGGAAGAGAGCATTTTGGCCACACTTTCTTGCTAAGGGAGCGTGGGGTTTTGTGTTTGTGTGTGTGTCCCCGCAGTGTGCTTAGAAAACGTTTCAGATCTAAACCTACCAATGATGCAACGTAGTTTTCCCAAGATTCTCAAAAGCTTTCCAACTGAGATCAGGAAAGTGAAAGAAAGAACTAAAGGAGAGGAAAACTCCAGAAGAAGGCGAGGCAACAAAAGGTGCCTTTCTTGAAGGTATGGACTTTCCTCCCATGTGTTAGATTTTGGAAGGAAATGGGTTGTAGGTTTTTTCGGGCTGTATGGCCATGTTCTAGAGGCATTCTCTCCTGACGTTTTGCCTGCATCTATGGCAAGCATCCTCAGAGGTAGTGAAGTCTGTTGGAACTAGGAAAAAGAGTTTATATATCTGTGGCATGACCAGGGTGGGACAAAGGACTCTTGTCTGTTGGAGCTAGGTGAATGTTTCAGCTGACCACCTTGATTAGCATTTGATGGCTTGGCTGTTGTTTGGTGTGGCTTGTTTGTGCCTGGAGCAATCTTTTGTTGAGAGGTGATTAGATGTCCCAGATTGTTTCCTCTCTGTTGTTTTTCTGTTGTAATTTTAGACTTTTTTTAATACGTCAGGAGAGAATGCCTCTAGAACAGGGGTCCACAAACTTTTTCAACAGAGGGCCAGGTCACAGTCCCTCAAACTGTTGGAGGGCCGGAGTATAACTTGAATTAATTTCTTTGCACACTGCACATATTTTATTTGTACTGCAAAAATCACTTTAAAACAATATAATAATTAAAATGAAGAACAGTTTTACCAAATATAAACTTATTAGTATTTCAGTGGGAAGTGTGGACCTGCTTTTGGATGATGAGACAGAATTGTTGTTGCTGTTGTGTGCTTTTAAGTCGTTTCAGAGTTAGATTGACCCTGAGCGAGGGGCGGGTAAATGACCTTGGAGGGCCGCATCCGGCCCCTGGGCCTTAGTTTGAGGACCCCTGCTCTAGAACATGGCCATACAGCCCGAAAAAACCTACAACAACCCAGTGATTCCGGCTATGGAAGCCTTCGACAATGCACCACTTAAATTGCCATGGCTCAGTGAGATTGCATCTTTTGAGAGTGCTGATGTTTCACTAAGCTACAACTCCCAGGACTCCATAGGATTGAGCCCTGACAATTAAAGTGGTGTCAAACTGAATTCATTCCACTGTGTAGATCAGGCATGTGCAAACTTGAGCCCTCCAGGTGTTTTGGACTTTAACTCCCACAATTCCTAACAGCCTAACGGCTGTCTTGTCAAAGGCTTTCATGGCTGGAATCACTGGGTTGTTGTAGGTTTTTTTGGGCTATATGGCCATGTTCTAGAGGCATTCTCTCCTGACATTTCGCCTGCATCTATGGCAAGCATCCTCACCTCACTACCTCTGAGGATGCTTGTCATAGATGCTGTGTACTCTCACATTTGCAAAATCTAGAACCCTCCTTAACCAGAACAGGTTAATTTAAACCTCCCTCTTTAAACCCATAGAGAACTAGACTTAAAATGTGGGAATTGTATGACATTGTCACTTGGAAAAAAAACCCTGAAAAGACAAACAAAACACAAAATAGCCCAATGAATATATTATTTTTTTGCTATTGGGTTACTTTTTCAAATTTCTCTCAGTGTAAAAATATTGCAATATTGGCCTGTGTTATAATTGTTTAAAAGTTTATTACAATTGAATGTATTATATTTTCTTTGTGTCCTAGCTGAATTTCCTGAATGGATTGGAAGTAAAATTATATTTGAAGAGCAGCAGCATCTGATTACTATCGCAATGAGAGGACTGATGAACATAGAGAACACATTACTTTCCAGTATGAGTGTTTTTATTTTTATTAAACTGCCTAGAGACATTATATTCAGAAGATCATCTCATAGGTTTCTTTGTCTTAGGAATGATCGCTCCAGGTCTGAATCCGAAAAGGAAAATAGCATTTTAATAGATAAGCTGACAGTTATGGGCGTGGATCTCAAAATGGTAAGAAAACGACAACCTGGTGTCCTCAGGAGGCAAATTACCAATGAAGATGGCCTTAAGAATTTTTTGAAAGCTAAAGGGGTGAACGAAGAAGCTGTCGCTGGTATAATTTCACGTTACCCTCGTTCCATCATTCGCTCATACCAGTCTCTCAAAGAACGTTGGGAAATATGGCAGAGTATTTTAATGAGCGACTTGGAAATTGTACAGATCCTGAAACGCTCCCCCGAGTCCTTTTTTCGTTCGGGAAATAATACGAACATGCAGAAAAATATTACCCTCTTTTCTTCTATTGGACTGACTTCAAAGGATCTTGGCAAGATGCTGACCCGAGTTCCCAGGGTGTTTTCTAATAGTATAGAACTTAACGAACAGATTATACATTTGCTGAATGAGATCTATATCGATCTTGGAGGTGAAAATGCAGATCATTTTGTAAAGGAAATAATTTCTAGAAACCCATTCATCCTTTTACGGAGCAGCAAGCAAGTAAAAGCGAACATCCAGTTATTGCAGTCATCCTTTAATCTGGATAATGAAGAAGTATTGACACTGTTACATGGTCAAGGAGGTGATGTACTGGATCTTTCTAATGAGTACCTTAAAAAAACTCTTGCAAATGTGAAAGAGAAACTGTTGTCTCATGAATGCACTGAACAAGAGGTGAACGTGTTTGTCCTGAAGCACCCTCGCATTCTGTACCTTTCTTCCCAGAACTTGAATGACAAAATTGATCTCCTCTTACAGGCCAGTATTAGCCTTCAGCAAGTACTGAGAAGCCCTCTCGTTTTTGACAAAAACATTGACACTATAAGAAGTCGAATTTGTGAGTTGGAAAAAGTAAATTTTAATTTTGAGACCCACGGGATTGGAATTCTTGCATTGAGTAAACAACGATTTGAAGCTAAGATGGAAAAGTTGCAGTGTGCATAAAAATAATAAATAAAATAATAAAACTTTGTTTATATACCGCTCTATCTTCCCTAGGGCAGTTTCCACATATGCAAAATAACATGGAAAACATACAGAGCAACAAAAACATAGGCATAAAATTATTAACACAAACATATACATCTCTCCGTTGCCATGGACCGACCACTACCTGGTCAGATTTAGGCTCACTGCACCCCCTAACCTCTGCAGAGGTGGAGGACCTATTAGGATGGTCTGCCCCAGGAGGCTTATGGATCCGGATGGATTCCTGACAGCTCTTGGGGAGTTTCCCGCCGCCTCGGTAGGTGATCCTGTCGACGCCCTGGTCGCTCTCTGGAATGGGGAGATGACTAGGGCAATTGACACGATCGCTCCGGAACGTCCCCTCTCAAGTAGCCGAGCTAAACCAGCGCCTTGGTTCACCGAGGAGCTGGCAGTGATGAAGCGAAGGAAGAGGGAACTAGAGAGTGTGTGGCATTCGGACCCGAGCGAGCCAAACCGAACACGGTTTGTGTCCTTTCTGAGGGCATATGCCGTGGCAATAAAAGCCGCAAAGAAGGCTTTCTTTGCGGCCACTATTGCGTCTGCGAAGAACCGTCCGGCTGAGTTGTTTCGAATTGTCAGAGGCCTTTTGAATCCCACCACACAAGGTGGGATCCCTGACAACTCGACTCGCTGTGAAGCTTTTGCTCGGTTCTTTGCAGACAAAGTCGCTTTGATCCGTTCTGGTCTGGACACCATGTTAAATGCAGTCTCTGTGGATGTAGCAAGAGCACCTGCTTGTCCTTTTTGATGGATTCATTTCAATTGGTGAAACCCGAGGATGTGGACAAGATACTTGGAGGAATGAGGCCAACCACGTCCATCCTAGACCCCTGCCCATCCTGGCTTCTAAAGGAGGCCAGAGGGGGATTGGCTGAGTGGGTGGAGGTGGTGGTTAATGCCTCCCTTCGGGAAGGCAAAATTCCAGCGAGCTTAAAACAAGCTATAATAAAACCGCTGTTGAAGAAACCATCACTAGACCCCACTAAATTTGACAACTTTCGGCCAGTTTCCAATCTCCCCTTTTTGGGCAAAGTCCTGGAAAGCGTGGTGGCCTCACAACTCCAGGTATTCTTGAGAGACACGGATTATCTGGATCGGCACAGTCTGGTTTCAGACCGGGACATGGAAATGAGACAGTCTTGGTCGCCTTAGTGGATGATCTGTGCCGGGAGCTAGACAGGGGGAGTGTGTCCCTGTTGGTGCTCCTGGACCTCTCAGCGGCCTTCGATACCGTCGACCACGGTATCCTTCTGGGGCGCCTTGCGGAATGGGTCTCGGAGGCACTGTTTTGCAGTGGCTCCGGTCATTTCTGGAGGGTCGTTCCCAGAAGGTGTTATTGGGGGACACCTGTTCATCCCCACAACCATTGTCTTGTGGGGTTCCTCAGGGTTCTATTCTGTCTCCCATGCTGTTTAACATCTACATGAAGCCGCTGGGTGAGATCATCCGGAGTTTCGGGGTACGGTGTCACCTGTACGCAGATGATGTCCAACTCTGTCACTCCTTTCCACCTGCTACTAAGGAGGCTGTCGAGGTCCTGAACCGGTGCCTGGCTGCTGTGACGGTCTGGATGAGGGCGAACAAATTGAAGTTGAATCCAGACAAGACAGAGGTACTCCTGGTCAGTCGTAAGGCCGAACAGGGTATAGGGTTACAGCCTGTGTTGGATGGGGTCGCACTCCCTCTGAAGACACAGGTTCGCAGCTTGGGTGTGATCCTGGATTCATCGCTGAGCCTGGAGCCCCAGGTCTCGGCGGTGACCAGGGGAGCATTTGCACAGCTCAGGCTCGTGCGCCAGCTGCGCCCGTACCTTGGGAAGTCTGACTTGGCCACGGTAGTCCACGCTCTTGTCACATCCCGCCTAGACTACTGCAACGCTCTCTACGTGGGGCTGCCCTTGAAGACGGCCCGGAAATTGCAACTAGTCCAACGCGCGGCAGCCATGATTCTAACAGGAGCGGAGCGCAGGGAGCACACAACCCCCCTGTTGCACCAGCTCCACTGGCTGCCGATTTGCTACCGGGCCCAATTCAAGGTGTTGGTACTGGCCTATAAAGCCCTAAACGGTTCCGGCCCAAGATACCTATCTGACCGCCTCTCGGCCTATGAGCCCACGAGGACTTTGAGATCTTCCGGGGAGGCCCTGCTCTCGATCCCGCCTGCGTCACAGGCACGGTTGGCGGGGACGAGGGATAGGGCCTTCTCGGTGGTGGCTCCTCGGCTGTGGAACGCCCTTCCTGTAGACGTTAGGCTGGCACGGACGCAACTAGACTTAATGTCTATTAGTTAGTCTTGCATTCCAGTGGTTGCACTTGAGTTTTATTCTGAACATTAAAGGAGCTATCTAAAGACTTCATCATACATGGCAGGCAAACTGGGATTGCAGCGGGACCGTCACTTTTGGTGACAGTTTCCATCAGATGAAGTCATATGCATTTTGTTACTGGTTTGCTTCCTCCATATGATTCCCCCATCCCTAGCTACATACAAATAAAACCTATCAATTGTTCCCAATTCAGCAATGTTTTATCACCCACATGAATGTGATAACTTCCTTCTTTTTCTGTGCCAGTATGCTGGCAGTAATATGACATCAGGGAGCAGAATTGTCTTCTGCTCTCTGCACCTCTCCCCTCTTTGCCTTGCTATTCCCAATATGGCTGTTTTTCTTTTCTTTTATACATGTCTTTCCCGTATTGCTGCTGATTTTAATGCTGAAATTGCACAATTAAAGGGAAAAAAACATAATTGAAAATTTAAGGAAGAGCAGTAGTACAGGAAGATCAGGTTACGACAGTGTGCAAAAATATCATGGGGCCAAGGAATGGCAAATTAGTGCAATTGCACTGTTAAATAGATGTGTGGTATTAAAGGTGCTCACATATAGCAGGATAATGCGTTGGTGCAATAAAATCATATGCTGCAGAACTTATTAGGAAAGAAGTTCAGAATCTTGGTTAACTCGGTTAAAAATTGGTCTAAAACAGTGTTTCTCAACCTGGGGGTCGGGACCCCTGGGGGGGGGCTGTGAGGGGGTATCCAAGGGGTCACCAAAGATAATCAGAAAACAGTATTTTCTTTTACTCATGGGGGTTCTGTGTGGGAAGTATGGCTCAATTCTATCATCGGTGGGGTTCAGAATACTCTTTGATTGTAGGTGAACTATAAATTCCAGCAACTACAACTCCCAAGTGTCAAGGTCTATTTTCCCCAAACTCCACCAGTGTTCACATTTGAGCATATTGAGTATTCATGCCAAGTTTGGTCAAGAACCATCATTGTTTGAGTCCACAGTGCTCTCTGGATGCAGGTGAACTACAACTCCAAAACTCACGGTCAATGCCCATCAAATCCTTCCAGTATTTTCTGTTGGTCATGGGAGTTCTCTGTGCCAAGTTTGGTTCTATTTCATCGTTGGTGGAGTTCAGAATGCTCTTTGATTGCAGGTTGACTAAAAGTCCCAGCAACTACAACTCCCAAATGACAAATTAATCCTCCCAACCCCACCAGTATTCAAATGTGGGTGTATTTGTGCCAAATTTGGTCCAGTGAATGAAAATACATCCTGCATATCAGACCTTTACATAATCAAAATTACTGTTATGAAGTAGCAACGAAAATTATTTTATGGTTGGGGGTCACCACAACATGAGGAACTGTAATAAGGGGTCATGACATTAGGAAGGTTGAGAAACACTGACCTAAAGCATGGATCAGATTCTCCACCCTCTGACGTGCCAGCCACCAGCTGTTGCTTCCTGTCATTAAATGAGAGCTACAGAAGCAATAAATGCAAAGCTCTATTTGCCAGAAAGAAACTGACTCGGAGGGTTCTTCAGGGAGTCTAGATATTGGCAGCAGCATGGAACACACAGAAGGGGATTATGTTCAATTCCTAGTGCTTCACTGGTTTTAATAATGGAAGAGCTGTAGCTATAAATCCGAAAGCCAAGAGCAAGAAACCTGGGCATATTGTATCTCTTCCAGTATGTTATTTATTAGTGTTTGTTTCTTCCATCCCTCTAAGGTGATAGAAGGACACAACAGAGAACAGCTGAGAGTCTTAACAGAGGAGTAGTTGTGTTTGCACAGCATTACCAAAAGGAGTGGTAAAACTATTTGGTATTATTTAATAATAATAACAATCCTTGTGGCTTTCACCCCCTCAAAACATGCATTTTGTGGCTGTTCACCATATGTTCCTCAAAAATAATTTGCTTTTGGTTTTTTAAAAATGTTTCCTTTGGAAGAGTCATGAGACAGAAGGAGAACTTTTACCAGTGGGAACTATCAGAGCTGTAGCTGTGTAAAGAGCCCTCTAACTATTATCTTATTACCATGATGGAATTGACTGCTGACAAATGTAATAATGTTGACTTTCTAGAGACTGTAGTAGAGAAAAAAATTGAATAATAATCATTACGTTACAAAGTTTGTTCCATGGAGCCAGTGTGGCATCATTGTTTAAGCTGTCGGCTATGTTTCTGCAGACCAGGGTTCAAATCCCCACTCAGTCATGGAAATCCACTGGATAACTCTGGGAAGTCTCAACCTCAAAAGAAGGCAAAGGCAACCCCTCTGAACAAATATTGCCAAAAACGCTCAGTGATAAGAGTTACCATAAATTACTTTTTGTTGTTTATTTGGTCAGTTGCTTCCGACTCTTTGTGACCTCATGGATCACCCTATGCCAGAGCTCCTTGTTAGCCATGGCCACCCCCAGCTTCTTCGAGGTCAAGTCAGTCACTTAAAGGATACCATCCATCCGTCCTTGGTCGGCCCCTCTTCCTTTTTCCTTCCATTTTCTCCAGCATCTTTATCATCTCCAAACTTTCCTGTCTCCTCATTATGTGGCCAAAGTACTTCATCTTTGCCTCTACTATCCTTCCCTCCATTGAGCAGCCGGGCTTTATTTCCTGGAGTATGGACTGGTTGGATCTTCTTGCGATCCAAGGCACTCTCAGAATTTTCCTTCA